GTAGCCTCACTGTGGCCACCCCAGTCCGAAGCTCCTGCCTTCTGGCATCTTCGACAGGCCCCGCTCCTTCTCCCGATGGCCTCCTCAAGCCCAGCTCAACCATCACAAGAGCCTTACAGGCCCAGTTTGTCTCCTTTGGCAGCCTCTCCAGGCCTGGAAGCTCCTCAAGTCGGCCGCTTCAGACCCGGCTACAGGCTCCCAGTGTCCTCTCCAGGTCCAGCACTTCCTCCCGGCTGACTCTACAGGCCCAACTTCTGCCTCAGAGCAATCTTTGGACTCAGCTCCCGCCCAGCTCCTGGCAGCCTTTGTAGGCCCAAAACTTCCTCTAGCCAAGCTCTCCAGGCCCAGCTCAGGCCTTACAGTGGCATCTCCAGGAGGCTCAGCTCCTGCCCTCCGCCGGAGTTTCAAGGCCCCCAAACTTCCTCCAGGCGACTCCTCTAGGCCCAGCTGGGGCCTCCTGGCGGACTCTGAAGGCCCCCACATCATCCTGAAGTCGGCCTCTCCAGTCCCAGCTCCGGACTCCTGGCTGCCTCTCCAGGTGCGTCACGGGGCCCCAAGTGGGCCCCTCCAGGGCCAGCCAATGCCTCCCATTGGCCTGTAGAGGCCCATTCTTGGCCTCCCTCATGGCGGCCTCTCTAGGCCCAGCCCTTCCCCTTCCTGTTGGTTGCATCAACAGGCACAACTCCCACCTCACAACAAGCAACCTCTGTGGGTTCAGCTTCTGTCCAGCTCCTGCTAGGCTTCGTAGGCCCAAACATTTCTCCAGCCAGAGCTTTGTAGGCTAACCTTCTGCTACCCGGTGGCCTGCACAGACCCAGGTCCGGCTGGAGAACAGCCTCTGAGGGCTCCACGATTGCCCCCCAGGGGCCTCTCCAGGCCTGGCTCTTGCCCCACAGTGGCCTCCCGGGGCCAGGTTCCTGCCTGCCTGCCTCAAGGCAGCCTCAATAGGCCCAGCTCCTCCCACACCATGGCCATATTCTGCCCAACTCATGCCTCTCCCGGCCCACCCAGAGGTGTGAGATCCTGCCTCACACTGGCCTGTCTGGACCAAGGTCCTCCCTCACACCGGCCCATTGGGGCCCAGCTCATGCCTCTTGTGGCTCTCCAGGCCCAGCAGCTGCCTGTGGGCAGCATCTCCAGGCCCAGCCTCTACCACGCAGTGGGCCATCTCCAGGCCCGCCTATAGCCTCGCCGTGGCCCCCTCGGGCCAAGCTTCTGCCCTTCGGTGGGCTCTGCAGGCCCAGCTCCTGCCTCCCAGTGGCATCCATAGGGCAAGCTCATGCCTCGATGGTGGCCTTTCCAGGCCTAGCATTTCCTGCTTTGCATCCTCTCCAGGCCCTGCACTTCCTCTAGACAGCCTCTCCGGGCCCAGTTCTTCCTCCCAGCGGCCTCTGCAGGCCCAAGTTGCCCTCAAGTCGGCCTCTCTGGGGCCAGCTCCTGCCTCCCGGCAGCTTCTGCAGGCCCAACTCATCGTCAAGCCGGCCTCCCCTGGCCCAGCTTTCAACTCTTGGCAGCCTCTCCAGGTGCACAACTTCCTCCCATCAGCCTCTCCAGGCCCAGCTCCTCCTGCCTCCTGATGGCCTGTAGGCCCAGCTCAGCTCGTTCCTCTGGCTGCCTTCCTCCCAGGCCCTGCTATTGACTTTTGGCGGTCTCTCCAGGTCCAGAACTTGACCTCCAGTCGGCCTCTCCAGGCCCAGCCTCCTGCCTCCCAAAGACCCGTATACAGGCCCAGCCTCTGCCTCACAGCGGACTCTCCCACGCCCAGGCCGCAGCCTCACTGTGGCCTCCCCAGTCCGAAGCTCCTGCCTTACCACAGCTTCGACAGGCCCCGCTCTTGCTTCCCTATGGACTCCTCAGGCCCAGCTCACCCCTCACAATGGCCTCTCCAGGCCCAGTTTGTCCCCTTTTGGTGGCCTCTCCAGGCACAGAAGCTCCTCAAGTTGGCCTCTCCAGGCCTGGCTGCAGCCTCCTGGCGACCACTGCAGGCCCAGCACTTCATCCCGGCTGCTTATACAGGCCCAACTCCTGCCTCACAGCAACCTCTTTGGACTCAGATCCCACCCAGCTCCTGGCGGCCTTTGTAGGCCCATAACTTCCTCAAGCCATGCTCTCCAGGCCCAGCTCAGGCCTCACAGTGACGTCTCCATGAGACTCAGCTCCTGCCCTCCGGCGGAGTCTCCAGGCCCCCAGATTTCCTCCAGGCGGCTCCTCTCGTCTCAGCTTGGGCCTCCCGGTGGTATCTACAGGTCCCCACATCGTTCTGAAGTCGGCCTCTCCAGGCCCAGCTCTGGGCTCCTGGTGGCCTCTCTAGGCGCAACACAGTGCCTCAAGTGGGCCCCTCCAGGACCAGCTCCTGCCTCCTGTCGCCCTGTGGAGGCCCAGCATCTGCCTCCCTCCCTCGTGGTGGCCTCTCCAGGCCCAGCGCTTCCCCTTCCTCCTGGCTGTATGGACAGGCCCGATTCCGACGTCGCAACAAGCAACCTCTGTGGGCTCAGATCCTGCCCAACTCCCACCAACCTCTGTAGGCCCAAACCTTTCTCCAGCCAGAGCTCTGTAGGC